CATAGGCAACAAAAACAAAAATAAACAAATGAAAGTACATCAAACTAAAAAGTACTGTACAACAAAAGAAACAAGCAGCAAAATGCAAAGTCAACCTAAAAAATTGGAGAAAATATTTATAAATCATGTTATCTGATAAGGGATTAATACCCAAAATATATAAGGAACTCAGAGAACTCAATAGGAAATAATAATAAATTTTTTAAAATAATTTGATTAAGAAATGGACAGAAGACCTGAATAGACATTTTTTCAAAGAAGACATACAGATAGCCAACTAGTACATCAGAAGATGCTCAACATCACTGATCATCAGGGAAATGCAAATCAAAACCACAATGAGCTATCACCTCACACTTGTTAGAATGGATCTCAAAAAGACAAAGATAACCTGTGTTGACAAGGATGTAGAGAAAAGGGAACCCTTGTGCACCATTGGTGGGAAGGTAAATTGGTACAGCCATTGTGGAAAACAGTAGTTTCCTCAAAAAATTAAAAATAGAATTAGCATATGATCCAGCAATCCCACTTCTGGGCACATATCCAAAGGCAATGAAATCACTGTCCCAAAAAATCATGCTTCAGTATATTCATTGCAGGATTATTCACAATAGCCAGGACATGAAAACAACATAGGTGTCCAATGGCAGATGAATAGGTAAACAAAATGTGAGATATATATAAAATGGAATATTATTTAGCCATAAAAAGAAGGAAAGCCTGCCATTTGTGACAACATGGATAGAACTTGAGGGCATTATGCTAAGTGAAATAAAGTCAGACTGAGAAAAATAAATGTATGATCTCACTTAGGAGAATCTAAAAAAGCCAAACTGATAGAAACAGGGAGTAGAAAGGGGGTTGCCAAGGGCTTGGAGACAGGGGAAATGAGGAGATGCTGGTCAAAGGGTACAAACTTCCAGATATAAGATGAATGAGTTCTGGGAATCTAATGTGCAGCCTAATGACTATAGTTAACAGTACTGTATTATATACTTGAGAGTTGCTAAGACAGCAGATTCTCACAACTGAAAATAAAAGGTCATTATGTGAGGTGATGGATTTGTTAACCTTTTTGTGGTAACATTTTGCAATATATACATATATATTGTTATATATGTGTGTATATTGCTATATATATGTATGTATCAAATTATCACATTTTAGATCTTAAATTTACACAGTGTTATATGTTAATTATATCTCAATAAATCTAGGGGGGAAAAAGAACTGAATAAGAGGTAGGGAGGGACTTTAGGGTGGGTGCATATTGCATTCTGAGATGTGTAAGCCATACAACAATACTTGTAAAAGGGCAAAGATAAGAACACTAGGGGGCTGTATTCATCAGGAATTGCAGTTTGTATATGTAATACTCCATTAGGTCAAAGTATCAGAGAATTGGGCAATGAGGATAAGAGAGTTTACTACTTCATACTGGTTAAAACAAATAGCTCACAATGAAAATATAACAGATAAAGACACTTCACAGTGAATAACTGCATCAAAATTTACAAAGCAAAAATGCTAAAAGCACAAGGAGATATTGATGGTGAAGACATGTAGTGCATTTCTCTGGGTCACAAATAGATCAAGCACATAAGATATGCATATGAGGATTTGAATAAAATAATTAATAAAGGATTTAATAGAGACTTTGAACCTATAGGAAAAGAATATTGTACTAAGTCCCCAGGTTTCATGGAGCATTTGCTAATATTGATTCTTAAGTCAAATAAATTTTTAAATAAATACTCCAAAGCAGAAATTTGTAAAGTCATTTTTCAGACTACAAAATAAACTTTTTAAACCACTTTTTAAAACGTTCTAAACATTTTCTGGATCAAGAAAATCACATTTTCAATTACAAACATTAAAAATTATGAGAGTCAACAATGTCGTGTGCACATACTCTAGCCTCCTCCTCTTGCCCTAAATCCCCTAAATGATGGGGGAGAAAAATACACACACTTACACACACACATATTTAAAGCCAGGAAGAGAAGTCTTTAGGGGAACTGAAACCAAGAGAAGTTTCTGAAAATCACAAGCAGACTGGACTATGACAGAGTACTAGCTTTTGAAAGATGTCCACCTCCTAACCCCAGAACTTGCAAATATGCTATTACATGGAAAAAGGAAATTCAAGTTGAAGATGGAATTAAATTTGCTAATTCATTGACCTTAAAATAAGAGGGTTATCCTGGGGCACCTGGGTGGCTCAGTTGGTTAAGCAACTGCCTTCGGCTCTGGTCATGATCCTGGAGTCCCGGGATTGAGTTCCGCATCGGGCTCCCTGCTCAGCGGGGAGTCTGCTTCTCCCTCTGACCCCCCCCCCATCTCATGCTCTCTCTCTCTCTCATTCTCTCTCTCAAATAAATAAAATCTTTAAAAAAAAAAAAAAAGAGGGTTATCCTGGATTATTCAAGTAGAACCAGTCTAATTACAAGGGTTCTTAAAAACAGAAGAGGGAGGCAGAAGAGGAGGTCAGAGTGACCTGATGTGAGAAGGGCTTGAGTTGCCATGAGGAAGGGGCCATGAGCCAAGAAATGCAGGTAGCATTCAGAAACTCAAAAAGGCAAGTAAATGGATTCTCCCCTAGAGCCTCCAGAAGGAATGCAGCTTTGCCAACACCTTTATATAAGCCCAACAAGACCTATGTTGGAGTACTAACTTACATAACTGTAAGATAATAGATGTGTTTTTTAAGCCACTGAGTTTGTGGTAATTTGCTACAGCAGCAATATAAAATTAATACAGACTAGTTTGGCCCATGCTTCTGACAAACAGGCTGTGAAAACAGACCAACAAGCAGTTTGACATGGAGCTTCAACTACAATTTGGGTTGCACAATCAAAAAGCATGAAACAAAAAAACCCCACCATGATGGAAAGGAACCAAACTCAAGATATAAGAGAAGTTAACACCCAAACAACTATTTTAAAATGGGGAAAAAAAAAAAGAGAGAGAGAGAAGAAAACAGAGATAAAAGAGCAGAATAGCATTGATAATAGATAGATATCCTGAGAGAGAGATAAGTATTCTAAAAAAGAATGGAATAGGGATCGTGGAAATTAAAAACTTAATAACTGAAATGGAAAACTCATTGTATGAGTTGAGTTGCAGAGTGGCAATGCTGATGTGAGAATTTGTGAGATGGAAGACCAAGAAGAGAATTTTCCCAAAACACAGCACAAGAGGCCAAATGATATAAACAAGAAATACTAAAAGACTTGGAAGACAGATCCACCATCTAAATTACCAGAGGACAGACTATCCTCTGAAAAATAAACTGACTCCCCAACAACAACAAAAAAAGGCAATAAAGGGGACACAAGAAGGAATACTTTGCAAAGAAGGTAGGAAAAATTAGTGCTAAATTCCAATAAGTATGAATGACAAAAATTTTAATAAAAATGTGGAACTAAAATTGCCAACAATTACAAGGGAGTTAGTAGACAATGGGGGAGAGGGAGAGAGTGAACTAAAAGCATGCTGTGATCCTTGCCTGATTAAGGAGAATCTATAGATACCAGTTAATTCAAGATGTTACTAGAAAAATACAAGTCTAAGTATGTATATTATAAAATTAAGAGTAATTACTAGAAAATACAAATAAAAGAGATAAATTCCAATCATTTGGTGGTGGGGAGAAGCTCAGAATGAAGAAATCCTAATCCATCTAGCTCCTAACTGAAGGAGTAATACATAATGATTAATTAGGGTTTTCCTAATACTGTAAGAATGGCTTATTATTATTAACAAATCTATGATGATAATATATAAATAGATAAAAGGAGAAAAGCAGATGAGCATCTCCACAGATGTTAAAAATTCACCTGTTAAATTCAGCATTTATCTCTGACTAAAAATACAACTTTAATTAAAGTAGATATTGAAAAGATACTTTGAAAACTTGATGAAAAAATATTACCTAACTTAAATATCCCACTCCCAAGGCATTTCTGTTAAATTCAAAGTCAAAAATGCCCACTGTTATTTAACAGTGTTCTAGAAGTTCCAGCCATTATAATTAAGGTGGGAGAGGAGGAATGAGAGATAGAAATATTGGAATGCAGAAAATAAAATGATCACTATTTTTAGATATATGATTGTTAGCATGGAAAATCCAAGAGAAGTAATGGAAAAACTGTTAAAACCAGTAAAAAAGAGTATGATAAAGTGGCCAGTACAAAATAAATTATTTTTTGAAAAGGAAATCTAATTATCTAAAAATAGTGGGTTGTCAAGTAAATTATGGTTATCTCCATATAATTAAATATTACCATGTGGCCTTTAAAAATAATGAAAACCTAATTCCATGGGAAATTGCACACCATCTATATGTAAGTGACAAAAAGTTTATTTTTAAAATGTACAGCAATAAATATGTATAGATACACGTGGGAAAATTAAGATACATTATCAAGATACTAAGTAATTATCTCTACATGGTAAGATTATAAGGGAATTTTATTTTCCTCTTAGCTGTTACCTGTACTCTTCAAATTTTCAACATTCAAAATTAAGAAGAGCACATTATTGGGGTGCCTGGGTGGCTCAGTTTGTTAAGCATCTGACTCTTGATTTCAGCCAGGTCCTGATCTCAGGGTCGTGAGATAGGGCCCCCCATCAGGCTCTACACTGGGTGTGAAGCCTGCATAAGATTCTCTCTCTCCCTCCCTCTGCCCCTCCCCCCCACTTGCACTCTTTCTCTCTAAAAAAAATAATTAATTAATTAAAAAATAACGATAATATATAAAAAAGAGCACATTATTTGCTCAGAAAATATACCAAAGAATTAAAAATCAATAGTTAATAATATGAATTATGTCCAATCTCACAAAAAATAAAAATGTTCCCTATGTTCATTGCAGCATTATTTACAAAAGCCAGGATATAGAAGTAACTCAGGTGTCCATCCATGGATGAATGGATAAAGAAGATATTTATACAGTATTTATACAATAGAATATTCCTCAACCGTAATTATTACTTACCATTTGCAACAACGTGGATGGACCTGTAATGCTGAGTGAAGCCAGTCAGACAAAGACAAATACCCTATGATTTCACTTATATGTGGAATCTAAAAAACAAAACAAACAAATAAATGACAAAAAATAGAAAACAGACCCATAAATACAGAGAACAAATAGGTGGTGGCCAGAGCGGAGAGGGGTGGGAAGATGGGCAAAATGGGTGAAGTGGAGTGGGAGGTATGGGCTTCCAGTTACGGAATGAATACGTCAAGGTGATAAAAGGTACATCATAGGGAAGATAGTCAATGTCATTGTAATAGTATCATATAGTGACAGATGGTAACCACACTTGGGGTGAGCACTGCATAACATTTAGATTTGTTGAGTCACTATATTGTGAACTGATACTAATGTATTAAAACTAATGTAACGCTGCCTGTCAACCATACTTGAATTTTTTAAAAATGCATATTAAAACAAGACAGGACCTAACATCTAGATGAATCATGTTCTGGATCTCAGTTTAGACAGACCCAGCAAAGAAGTTACTTGAATAACAAAGGAAGAAGGGATTTTAGAATGGACCCAGCACTAGATTCTATTAAAAGATAATAAATGTTAATTTTTGATAATGTGCTTTGGCCATGTAGGAAAATGTACTTCTTTTAAGAGATATAGAATGAAGCATTTACAGAGGGAATGTTATGATGTCTATAATTTATTCAAGCATAAAAAGATAAAGTGAATCAAATGGGAATTCTTGTTTCTTCAAGATTAAAAAATGTATGATTATTTTTACCTACCAAACTGGAAGAATTAAAAAATATAATAGCCAGCATTGGCAGGTGTGACTAAAATGAGAACTCTTGTTTACTACTGGCAGAAATGAAAAATTAGTACAAGCTTTCTGAAGGGCAATTTGGTCACATACAGAAATTCCTTAAAAACATGCTTCCCCTTATTTTAGCAATTCCACTTCTCAGAATTTTCCCTAAAGGAATTATCAGAAATACACATAAAACTATTACTATGAAAATGCTTGTAACGTGATAAAAAATTGAAAAAAAAATGAAGTCTAGTCTAGAAAACAGTTTAATCAGTTACTGTATACCTAAAACACAGAATAGGTAGCCTCATGCAGCCTCAAATACTGTACTTTTGAAATAATAGAATATGTTATATAAATATAATTTATATTTATATTAAATATAAGCTATAAATAATATAATGAATAAAAGAATACAAAATCATGTATGTAGTAGGACTCAAATTTTGTAAAATATGATTAAAACCTGATAAAATACACAAAGCCTCGGGAAAAAGAGATTAGGAGGCAATATACCAAATGCTAATAGTGGTTATCTCTGGATCTCTGAATCATAGATACATTTAATTTTCTTTCTTATACTTTTGTATATAGTTGTAAAATTTCTGATTTTGAACATTTTGTAACTCAAAAGGTTTGTCTCAAAATATAGCTAATGTAAAAATATTTTATACTTAAAGAAACCTGCTTATATTATTTGGAATATTGATACATACAGAGAACCTCTTCCACACGATAGTAGATCCTTGACACTCATGGATGAGAACGCACTGAGAGGTCTCTCCATGGTGTCTATTCAGGGGACTGAAACTCCGCCACTATGTAGGAAAGTTGACCAGCTGCCCTGAGAACATCCTACCCACCCCCCCCAACACAAATATTCCTCCAAGAGCATTTATATTCTCAAGTAGCTCCTAGTGTATACACTTAACAAGCCAGCCAGCTTTTCTATTTAAGCAAAATAAAGGAGAGGGAAAAGAGGGAGCAGACGGTCAGAGAGTTCATAATTTGCTTTAAAAGCAAGTAAAAAGAGATCAAAGGTAAAAGTATTTTTTTTTTTTCTTTAATGCATCCAACAAAAAGAGGGAGAAAAAAAAGACAGATGAAAGAAGCTCTATTTCAAGGGGGCAGGGAACTCTGGTGGATAGGATCTATGAAAATTAAAACTACGAAAAAGACACGATGAGCAAAACATTGAGGTAAGTGTGAGTCCACAGTTAAGTCAACTAAGACAGAAAGAAAGGCATTGCTTTACTTGCCAAAGTTTAGGTAAGAGACCTGGAAGACAGCCGTGCTAGACGCATCCCTGCCACTTCCACCATTTAATAAATGTTTATTCCGAGCGCACGGACTGTGCCAGGCGTCAGGAGCCGGGGCTGGAAATTCGAAGAACGCTGACATAATCCCTGCTTTCCAAGTGCTGCTACCTGAGTGACAGATCCGAAGGAACAACCACAGCCCCACGTGACGTCACGGGGGGCGATCAAAGGCTCCCGCCCGTCTCCTACAAAAACACAAAACTTGGGCTGGGTGCCGCGCGAGGGGCAGAGACTGCTGTAAACGTTACTGGAAGCCAGCAGCTAGAGAGAGGTGAGAAATGTAGACAGAAACCGAAGAAATAGCATCAGTGTTTTCCCTGAACAATGGCTGCAAGTGCTAGTTGTTTTTACGTCTTTTCAAGACAGTCCAGGAAGACACCCCCACTTTTTTTTATCGTTCTTGGAAATTAAAAGGACGCTGAAAATCAGCTGGCAAACATTTCCAAAAGGCGGTACCTGTCTCCGGTGTCACCATCGTTCGCATTCTCTCGCGCATTTGGGGTACTCGAGGCCGTAATGTGAACAAGCCACAAAAGCCTGCTTACTTACCAGGGGGTTTCTTTCCCAGGAAAAGAGACAGTAACTTTCAGAACGCACGGGGAAAGCAAGTGCTTGACAAAATGCAGCTCCTTGGTTTAAGTACCGTGGTGCCACAGAAACGATTTTGTGCCATCTGTTGAGCCTCCTTGGAATTACACCGACATAGGAATTTCCTTTTCAAAAGTCACGTGAAAAGCACGTAGGCCCGCAAGATTTTTTTTTTTTTTTTTTTTTGTCTGGGCTACGGGCTCAAACAGTAATCCAATTTTTAAGTTCGTACGAGCACACATTTTAGGACAATTTTAGTGGGAAGGAAAATATTTCTCCTAAGGTAAGATTTGTCTATAAGACTTTGCAGCCAGAGTGTTAAAAAGTGTCACCAGGGTAGAGTTATTGAATGTGGCCTGTTTTCTATGATCAGCATATTTAACATTTGCAAAATAGTTGCAACCACCGTTATCAAGCTATTTTGGAGCATTACTTTAGCTGGATGAGGTACCTTAAAGTAAAATAAGCTGAGGTCCAAGATTTGTTTTTTTAAAAATCAACTTTCAAGGAAAGTTTAGTAGTTGATACCTATGTATGTAGCCACACCTGGGGGAAGTTGCATCCTGTTTCCCCACCTTCCGACCAACATTTGGTATTATTAGATGGATTCATTCTTTTTTTTTTTTTTACACTATTAATCACATTTATTGGGCTTTCATTGTGTACTACACACTGTTATTGGCTTTCTATGCCATTATCACATTTGATGGTAATAACGATCCCTCGAGGTAGATATTATGATTGTGCCCATTTTGTAGATGAGGAAACTAAGCCTTAAGGGCTGCAGAATTTGCCCAAAGCCCCGCAGCTAGTAAGGGCCAATAGATGCATGAATTCTTAATTCTAGAATAATAAATGACCCTGAGATGCTGCGGGACTAAATAAAAATCAATTTTCTAAAGGCCATTTAGAATAATTTTAGAACAATCAACAAAGGTTGATACAAAAAGATGGTGTCTGGTTAACAGGCAGCCAGGATATCCAATTCCCAAGACTTTCCACTTAATCAAGATCCTATAAAGAACTGAACATATGAGTTAAATAACTATTCTAGAATCGATCCCGCTGTCCAGCATTACCTCATCTTTATGAAAAACAAGTTAAGACCCTACAATTTGGCCCCTAACAAAGTGAGACGTTTGGGTAAGAATCACTTCTGCTTTCAGGGAGAAGGGAAAGGCTAGCTTCTTACTATTCATTCTTACTCATCAACCATAACAGGAAGTCTTCTCAGGCCCAGGGAGGGCCAGCAAAAGGGAACAGCGAGGGAGCCGCAACTGTCTGTGGCACTGGGAGCCAGCTTTGTGAAACAGGCAGAGGAGAAAGGGGCCAGCTGAGGTTTTAATTCCTGTTGAGGCTGTTAGAATTCAGAGAAATGTCTTTTTTTTTTTTAAGATTTTATTTATTTATTTATTTGAGAGAGAGAGAATGAGAGAGAGCACATGAGAGGGGGGAGGGTCAGAGAAGCAGACCCCCCGCCGAGCAGGGAGCCCGATGCGGGACTCGATCCCGGGACTCCAGGATCATGACCTGAGCTGAAGGCAGTCGCTTAACCAACTGAGCCACCCAGGCGCCCCAGAGAAATGTCTTTAAGGAGATGATAAACCCACAGAAGTCAGCTTGTATAGAAGATAGCATCACAGTGAAACAGACAGTACTGGGCTGAACTCATAATACCAAGAACATCTTGGGCAAGTTGCTTAACCTCACAGAGTTTCCATTTATTTATCCCAAATGGGAGTATTTGTGATTTTTGAGGGAGATAATGAATATAAAGTGGCTGGAATCGTGCTTGACACAGAAGAGTAGTTATTATGGTAAGGAGCTTTGGAATTCTATACAAGCCTTACATTTTTACGTGTTGGGATGGAAAGACTTCAGGATATACTATTAAGTGAAGAAAAACAAGGAGAGCGTGATATCATTTGCATAAAATCTGGTCTGTCGGATATTTACTTAGGTTATCTTCTGGCCAGGCATTGTTCTGAGGTAATTTACAAATAGTAACTCACTTTACCCTCATAAAGATGCTGAGATAAGTCCCATCTCTATCCCCACTTAAACTGGGGCGAGGAGCCATCAGGTAACTGTCCCAGGTTGTGCGTACTTGGGCCGGGGGTCTGAACCCAGATGAAATTCAGCCCAGCATTTGTGTGCTTCTGCACCGCACCAGGCTGCCTTGGAAGATAACACGTGTCCTTATAAGACCCACAGAGGAGAGACAGAGAGAGAGGAGCAGGTGGGAAAACAGGCAGAGATTGGAGTGCAGCCACAAGCCAAGGAATGCCTGGGACCATCAGAAGCCAACAGCCCTGCCAACACCTTGATTTTGGACTTCCGGCCTCCAGAACTGGGAAAGAATGAACCTCTCTGTTGTTTTAAGCCACCCAGTTTGTGGGAATTTGTTATGACACCCACAGGAAACTGGCACCAGGGTCTACATATATATGCTGGTATATGCATAAAAATCTTAAGAAACTGTTACCTTTGAGCAGAAGAACCAAAGGAGAGAGAGGTTTTTACTCACCGTTTCATGCTCTTTTGTCCTTTTTGAATTTTTTTACTAGGTACATGCATTGGCTTTATTTTTAAAACAGTGACAGGGCGCCTGGGTGGCTCAGTCGGTTAAATGACCCACTCTTGATTTTGGCTCAGGTCATGACCTCGGAGTTGTGGGATCAAACCCCAAGTCAGGCTCCATGCTCAGCACAGAGTCTGCTTGTCCCTCCCCCTCTGCTCCTCCCCCTGCTCTCTCTCTCAAATAAATAAATAAAATCTTAAAAAAAAACAACAGTGTCATAGCGAGATAGGTAAAATAACAGTCTAAGAATGGCAAATATACTATCCCAATATAGACAGAGCAAAACATTATTTTGATGATTTTTACTTTTTAAAAAACTGCCTTTCTCTTTCCCTGGAAAATCAATCAATAAATACTTGTGTCTACCAACAGCTTTAAAACAAGCTATATGAAAATTATATCATAAAATATACAAACCACTAGAAATAAAATTGGTAACTTAAATATTGATATTAAAATCCAAATCTGCTGAATAAAAAAAAACAAAAACAAGCCACATGCAGGGAAAAGATATTTGCAATACATATAACTACAAAAGGATTAATATCCAAAATATATAACGAGTTCTTACAAGCCAATAGGAAAATGAATAACAAACCCAGTGGGGGGAAATTAGCAAAGGATATAAACAGATGGACAACAGGAAAGTAAATAGATCAAAGATATAAAGAATGCGTCCTCATTAGGATATGGGAAAATACAAATTAAGACACCCAGGAGATACCATTGTACACACCTGGGACAGACAAAAATTAAAACATCTGATAATACCAAATATTGGTCAGAATGTGAGGAAACAGGAACTCTCACACAGGTTCAGGGATTCTGATTTAAATGGTCTGGGATGGCACCAGGCATCTGTATTATTTTAAAAGCTCTAAAAAATAAAATAATCTCTCCAGGTGATCTAGTTCCAAAGGAACAGGGCACTCTGAGATCTAAATGCCATCCTGAACACATCCCCCTCTAGTGGTCCATACTGTCCTCAACTGAATCCCTCATACCTCAGGGCCTAGAGGTGATGTAGGCATCCTGACTGTCACTGCTCATTCCAGATCACTGTTCCTCCCTCCAACCCTTGAAACCTACCCCTCCTGGGTGCACTCATCCACAGAGGCCCATCACTCCCTCATTCACTGAGCATTTCAGCGCTACTCACCATCCCAAAGCAACACTGCCCCTACCATAATTCTAGTGATTTTAATAGCTATGTAGAGATTCTTTCATTCCCCCAGCTTCTTAGTTCTTGGATATTCTCTCCTCTAATAGATCTTATACTGCAACCTACCTCAGCCATGCATTCCCTCATAATATAGAGGGAATAATAATAATAATAATAGATATTATTACTACCAATGGCCATATCCTCTCCATAATCTCAATCGCCAGCATCCCACTCTCCAGCTACCACCTCCAACTCTTTCCCTCTGCTGCCAACAATTCCTCAGCCCCACTGCACTGGACTGTGGGCATCCTTTTAATCATCCCTCTGCATTCACCCTCAACTCCTTTGCTCCTCTGTCCTCTACCCAGGTTAAATCCAACTCATCCCTGGACGGACTATACTGAGCCTGAGCAGCTGGTTGCAACTGGAGAAAATACACATCCATGCTGACTTGTTTTACTTGAAATTCATGACTGGGTCCCAACCTCAAGAGGGAGCAGCAATCCTACTACCCTTTCTACTCCCCTTCCCTAGCCCATTTACTCTATCTTATACCTCCTTCCCTCTCTTATGCTTCCAACACCTCCTTCCTTCCCCTCTCTCAGCAGATGATGCTTCATTTTTCATGCAGAAAATAAATGCAACCAGAAGAGCATTTCCTCATCCCCCCACAAAACTCTACTAGCCTATTTGCACCTGTCTACCTGTACTTTCCTCTCCTCTCCTGAATGAACTTTGTCAAGAGCCAACGCCTCCCCGTTGAGCACTGAATTCCATTCCTGCTTGTCTACTCAAGAAAACCACTCTTTCACTCTAGCAATTATCTTTCCTCTACTATATCATCATTGTTTTGTTCTAATATATGGTTCTAATTAGCGTAAAATGCTACATTTTCTCTCATATTTGAACTCCCAGTCTCTTCATCTTTGTTCCTCTTTATACCAGAACTCCTTGAAAAAGTCACCTTAGTCACTGTCTCTAAATATTCTCCTTCCATTCTCTCAAAACTACTCCAATCTGGTTTCTTTCTCCACCACTCCAGAGAAATTGTTCTTGTTAATACTCCACATTGCCAAATCCAAGGGTCAATTCTCAGGATTCATCAGAACTCTCAGCAGTATTTAACACAGTTCAAAGATGTTGCAATTTTTCTTAACTTGGCTTCTGGGACCCCATACTCCCTTCCTCCACTCTCACTCCCACACACCTCCCTCCCAACTTCATTCTAACTCACTACATTCCTTCCCAGTCTCCTTCTGGGTCCTCCTTGTCTCTCTGACTTGGCACAGCCAAGACTCAGTCTTGACCCTCCTCTCTTCTGCAACTCCATGCATTCTCATCCTGGGTCATGGCTTCAAAACTACCAATTTGCTGATGATTCCCCAGTTACTATCTCCAGCCCAGACTTCTCCCCTGAACTCCAAACTTTACATCCAACTGTCTACTAAACATTTGCTAAACTTTTCTTGTTAAAAATCAAATGCTTGAATCCTCACTACCTCAGACCACAAGCCTGTCCCTTTTGCATCCTTCCTGATCTCAATAAGTGATAATTCTATTTTTAAAAAAAAGATGTATTTATTTATTTTGAGAGAGAGCACAGGGAGGGCAGAGGGAGAAGGAGAGAGAATCTCAAGCAGACTCTAGGCTCAGTGTGGAGCCCGATGTGGGGCTTGATCTCCTGACCCTGAGAGCACGACCTGAGCCGAAACCAAGAGTTGGATGCTTAACTGACTGTGCACCCAGGTGCCCTGTGATACTTCTATTCTATTCTATCCTATTTTTCTATCATTCAGGTCAAAATCCTTGGACTAATGTGTGACTTCTTTCGTTTCCTCCAACTCCACATCCAATCCTTCAGCAAATTTTACTGAGTGTTTCTTTGAAATATCTCCATAAGCAAAACACCTCTCATGCCCTCCACCACTCCCATGGTGGCCAAATCCATAGTCATCTCTCACATGGATAACTGCAATGGCCTCCTAACTGATCTGTCTGCCTCTGCTCTTCCCTCCACCCACCCACCTTCATTCTCTCCCAACCCAGTTGGAATCAGACACTAGAATCATGGCACACATCTACTCAAAATCTGTAAGGATTCTCTTCTCATTCAAAGTATAAGCCAAAATCCCTACTGTGGTTTGCAAGACACTGACTAGTCTGCCTCTTGTCTTAGACTCCACTACCGCTATGGCCTCATTCCTTCCACTCTGGCCCACCCTCCCTCTGCTCCAGCCACACTGGCCACTTTCCCATTCTGTGAATGCACCAAGCATGTTCCCACACTGCTCTTGCAGTTCTCTCTGCCTAAAATGGTCCCCCCATATCACCATTTTCCACTCCCTTACTTCTTTAAAATCTACACTGAAATATCACTTCATTGCCATGGCCTTCCCAGATCACAGTTGCTCCCACCCATCATTCTGTAGGCCTATGGGCACTATATCCTGCTTGACGCCCCACCTGGTATGTTATCTAGTTAGGGTCTCTCCCTTTCAACAGAATGTAAGTTCTTTGAGAGCAGGACTTTGCTTTACTCCTTAATGTATTCCCAGCATCTAGAGAAGATCTAGGTACATAGTATACTCAAAAAAGTTTTGTTTAATTGGGGCGCCCAGCTGGCTCAGTCAGAAGAGCATGTGACTCTTGATCTCAGGGTCATGAGTTTGAGGCCCATGTTGGGTGTAGAGATTACTTAAATAAACAAATAAATAAAATCTTTAAAAAAACCAAAGTTTTGTTTAATGAATGGTTGTGATGTAGGCAGGATGGGGCCAAGGGCCCAGAGGGGGTCCCACAGGACCAGCCAAGAGGGTCCTTGGCTATGTGCAGGATAGAAATCAAATGTGAGCCAGGAAAGAGTGAGAGCAGACTTTATTAAGGATATATAGAGAGGGCAGATACAGATAGAGCATCGGGGAGACTCAGAAAGGAAAAGGAAAGAGGGTCTCTTTTTTGTTCAGGGCCTGGGGTTTTTATTGAGGATTATGGTCTAGTGTATGTGGCCACTCAGGCATCCAAGAACCGGTCAGAGCAAAGACAAGGGTCCAGGTGTGCTCGATAAGTCACGTATCGCTTGGAGCCAGAGGGTCTTGGCATTGAGATGACTAGAGCCAGTGGTCTGCAATACGGTTTGTCTGGTCATTTGCACCCAGTCCTTTCTTAGATGTTATCTATGGTGCTGAAAGACTAAAGAAATCGTTAACTTCTTATCTCTTACCAGGAAGACATGTACTATTTGTACTATGAGGCACATGCAAGGTGGGGGTGCAGGTCCTAGCAAGAATAGAAGCGGGAAAAGGAGCAAAAAGCAGATTTTTATGGAGTCTCTTCAGCTTCCTCATCTCAGTTGAACCACACAGGAGAACAGACAATTTCATATATCTAGTAAAGGTGACCTGGCTATTCCATTTCTAGCCCGAGATACCAGATACACAAAGATGGCCATTGCAGCACTTTGTGCAATAGCGAAACATGAAATACATCAAATGTCCATCAATTGGGGAATAGAAAAATTGTGGATATTCATACCGTGGAATCCTATTAAGACTTTGAAATCAATGTACTAGATCTACACATATGAACATAAATGATTCTCAAAAATATGATGAGTAAACAAATGTATAGGATGTTATTTATAAAATCTTAAAACATTGAAAAAATTCTATTTAGTATCTATTTGATGTGGGAAACAAAGGCAGAAGAAAAATTATTAAATTTCCTTACTATCTACAGCCTATTGAAACAGGCAGAGTGACATTCCTCTAGGGACTCAACGGCCTCAATGTTAATACTTTGCTAAGAGCAAAAGGCAATGTTAGCCCAACCCTCCAGGATCCTGTAAGTCTACTTTAACATATAAAAATTCCTTTGGAAACCTCCTTTATCTCTACCCCCCAAGATACATGTTGGCAATCATCCCCCAAGCATATGACCCGCCGATATACATCTGAAGGGTCTCATGACTCAGGTTTTATTAGACAGTAATAAATGACTTTTTCCCAACAAGAGCTAGCCCCCTCAAAGTCCTGGAAACCGTGCTTCCAAAATTTCTTAGAGACTCACGCTATCCTGAACACTCTCCCAACTTGAAAGTCTACAATGGGCCACTCCTCATGACCCTCGTGCCGCTCTTTCTGCCCACGGGTCCTGTGCCCGTGCTTTAATAAAACCACTTTTTGCACCAAAGACGTCCCCAGAATTCTTTCTTGGCCGTCGGCTTCGAACCCTAACATCTTTCCTACATCATATGGATAAAGGTATGTGCAGTAAAGTATAGAAATATGGGTGGGAAGGATATACAGCAACCTCAGGACAGTTGTTACCTTCAGGGAAGGTGGAGAATGCAAGGGAAAGCATTTCCAACATATCTTTAACATTTTTTTTCTTTTAAAAGAAGGTTCTAAAATAAATATGACAAAAAGAAAAGTTGTTCAATCTACCTATTGTCATAATATTCTCTACTTTTTTTCTTACACAGACAAGTATTTGTCCTATTATTCTCTGCTTTTCTATATGTTTTAAAGACTCCGGAATTTTTTCAATGAATAAAGAATTTTTAAGTTGCAAAAAAATCACAGTTTTTGTAATAAAACCTGGTGGGCTTGGAAGCAGCATCAGTTGAGTAAAAAGGCGTCATTTGCGGTCAGCAGCGAAACTTGTTGCTGGAGTTGCTTGCTTGATAGGCAATAAAGCCTATGTAGTTTGGGTCAAAGGAGCAAAGGAAACCAGCCCTTCAAAGGGAAGGTCTGATTGCGCTTTGCCGTTCCGCGCAGCAGGGGGCGCAGGTGGGGCAAAGGTACCTGCTGTCCGTAGGGGGCGCGGGAGTCACAGGCACCGTGTTTGTGTCCGTGGTACGCCAGAACACACCTGTCATACCTTTTGAACAAAATTTGCTAACACTCAGAATTGCAGCACTCGGAAAGAATCTGTTTTTAAAACTGTATTTTCCCTAACTTATATAATATATAGGTATATACATACAGATGTACTTACAAGAAAATATTTACACTATACATAAGCTTTTGTAAACTTCCCCCGGCCTCGACTTAAAATTTGGCTATGCCTGCCTTCTTTGCATGCCAACAAATCGAATGGATAGTTAATCATTTTTAATGGCGGCAGCATATGCGACTGTTGGAAGCTGCTATAATTTACTTAACCAATCGTTTATTGTGGGACGGATTAGGTCCGGGTTTTCCCGGGCATGAACAACAATAAATATCCTTGTACGTACATATTCGCACATTTGACTGTTTACTTAAGACACATTTGCGATGTGGAATTCCTGGGCCAAAGCTAATGCTTTTGAATTTTGATCCGCATTTCCAAACTGGCCTTCTAGAAAGCGTTTTCGTTTAGTTGGTTGGTTTTAAGTCAGATTGCACTCCCTCAGGCAAGGTAAGGGAAAGCTGTTTACCGCACAATCGGGGCACCGTAAACTCTTGCTGAACTTTTGAACGATCCCTTCCCGGGGAAACTGCCTGCGGGGTTTTCCCGGCGCCTTTAAAGGCAGGAAACTGCTGCGGGGAACCCCGAGCCCCCCCCCCCCCCCCCCCAGGTGGAGGCACAGACCTGCAGAAACCAAGTTTCCCAGGGAGGCTCCCAGCCCGGCCGGAGGGGGTGCCGGGGCGCGTCCGCCGCGCTCGGGCTCCGGGGCGGGCGGCGCGCGGGGGCGGGGCTCCTCCTGGGCCGGCGGCGGGGCGGGGCAGCTGCGCCGGCCGCCCCCGGGGCCCCCTCCCGGCCCGCCCTCCGGCCGCGTCCCCGCCGGCCCTGCCGACGTGGCGGGGCGGAACCCGCCGGGCGCTCTCGCGCGCACTCGGCAGCCGGAGTGGTAAGAGCCCCGGGCACCTTCTCCCCATCCCCTTCTCGGGGCGGGCGGGGGGGTGCGGGCACCGCCGTGGCGGGGTGGTGGGGAGACCCTGCCGTCGCTCCTTGCCCTGGCCCCCGAATCCTGCCCGCCGCGTTAGTGGGAAGCTATCGGCAGGGACTTGGCACCGCGCGCGGGACCCGGGAGGACCGGACTTTGGGGTGAAGGTCCGGGGAGGCGCGGGCGGCGCGGCCGAGGGCCCTGCGTGGGTGCGGGCGTGTGAGTGTGTGTGTGTGAGTGTGTGTCGCTCCGGGTCCACGCTCATGCACACACCCACACGCCTGCACTCGGGGTCTGCTCCCTCGGCCGGCGTGAACCTCCGCGGAGCCTGCCTTGTGCTCTCCAAGTATCTGGTCCCGGCACCCAAGCAAGGCTGAGAAAGTTTCCTCAGGGTCCCAGGTCCGAGTCAGAGGCAGGCTGCAGGGCCCCCCGCCGCCGGGGTTGGGGGGGCATAGAGGGAGTGGGTCCCCATAAGGCAAAGGCCTCCATCCCGGGGTTTGCCAGCCGTTGGCCTCGGAAAACCGAGGAGCTCTGGCCTTGGAAAACCGAGGAGCTCTGGCCTTGACCTCCCGCTCAACTTCATCATCTCTCTGCCTGCAACCTCGCTTGCTCTTCCGCCACAGCCAACACCCTAAGCCAGTACCACCTGGCTTCACAGCCCCCGGTCTGAGCCTACCCCCAGCTCCCCAGGCCCCGCTCACCCACTGTCTCCTTTTCTGCCCTGGAACCTGGTGAGTATTTCCAGCCATCTCCGATCAGGCGCCTGAACTTCACTGTCCTTTCCTGGAGTAGGAAGACATCTCGGTCTGGGCTAAGGGCTGTATATCTGTGCCCTATTCATCCCATCAGTTCCCATCCTGAACGTTAGGGGTACGAGCAGGTGGCTTCTAAAATCAGTGTCTCTTGAACCCCAACCCGAGGTAACCCAGGAGACAGCCTCTCTCCCCAGAGGCCTCTTTCTGCCCTCTTTTCCTCCTAGTGCCCCTTTCCAGCCTCACCCATATTCACCCCCTGCTCCCTCCTTCCTTTCCATCAGAGCCTGAGCTTGGGAAGGACTCTGATAACTCCTTACATTGTAAGCTTTAAGCAAAGGAATGAAACTTCCAGGGTGGTATTTGAAACACGAGGGAGCCAGTGCAGAAGGAATTTGAGGGCGAGAGGGAGCCTTCTAGAATACCAAGGATTCAGCCCATATAAGTAGCCATTTATAAGTCTGGCTTATGTCAAATATTCTCTCTCTTGAATCAATATCAAACAATATGTTCTGCAAACATCTGAGGGTCAGAACCCAAGCTAAGTGCTTGTTGGTCACAGTCCTGGAGAAGGAGGAAATGACACAGAGACAGATACTCCTTAGGAAGTCAGTGCAAAGTGTCACACACACACACAGCATGGAAGGAGAAGCAATTCTGGGAAAAGAGTGGGGGAAATTAAGGAAAATTTTAGAGTAAAAAGCGACACTAGACATAGGAGTTTGCCAGGCTGTTGAAGGCAGGGCAGCCCAGGCAGAGGAACCAGACAGGCAAAGGCACGGTGGGAGTGCTTACAAGCTGTGGGCACTAATGGAAAGTCTGGTGAGGCAAGAGCGTAAGGTGTCCAAAGAGTTGCAAAAGGTGGATAAAGAGATCGGAGCTGAACCATGAGGGGCCACAGATGTCATGCAAAGGTGTTTAAACCTAATGGTTTTTATTTATTTATGTTTAAGGTTTTATTTATTTATTTGTCAGAAAGAGAGAGAGCACAAGCAGGGGGAGCAGCAGACAGAGGGAGAAGCAGACTCCCAGCTGAGCAAAGAGCCCAATGCGGGACTCGATCTCAGGACCCCGGGATGGTAGCCTGAGCCGAAGGCAGATGCTTAACCAACTGAGCCACCCAGGTGTCCCAAACCTAATGGTTTTTAAACAGGGGAGCAAATAGGTCCCATCTGTGTTTCAGAAAAATACACAGGAGACTGGTGGAGGCTAGATCCGAGGAAACAGCCTGGGGCTTCGTAAGGGGGGAACTCTTAGGAGCTGATTAACCTCTCATCCAGAGTTTTTGTTCCTGGTCCTCATTGACCAGTCCTTTTTAAAATTGGGGGCAGTGATTTTACATAGGGTATCGTGTTAGCAAATTCATATTTTGCCAAATGAGACCATTTAAAAAAATCTATCCACTGCACTATTTCATAAAATGAAAGATTTTAATACCAAGAAAAGCATGAAGGCTAAACTTGCAAGATGAAGGCAGTCCTTTAATAAATGTAGATTGATGAAAAACTTGTGATCTTGTCCTCATTTTTCTCTAACATCATGGACTGGTCCCAGTCCTGCAGTCTTTGGGGTTTGGGAGCCAGGTATCCAGATCATTTTGTCCCGTCTTACTCTGCAGAGGAGGAAGTGAGGAAGCCCAAGAGGACTGAGTTGTGCGCCCACAAAGAGATGGTGCGACCAGAGCATGCTCTTCCTACCTCAGAGTACCCCTCCCCCCCAGCCAACTGCTCTGCTCTTCTTCCATACTGCCTCCTGGCCCGGCCACACATTCATCCCGATTATCTAGACTTCATTCCTGAAGCCGGGCATTTGCACATACTCTTATCCCACCATGCCTGAGTATTCCCATCAAAGCCACTTTTAAGGTTCTTGGCACTAGGTCAGTCTCATTCCAGCACATCTTTCCCTTATTTGGTGTGCTGTTTTGTATCCTCACTTAACCATTGCATGTTAGCTTGAAATAGTTTCCTGGACCTTCATTGACCAGGGATAACGTGAAAACAGATTAGTCATTTTCCGAAGGGTAGTAGCCATGTCTTCCGTTTTCAGCTTATTTTTGGAGCCCATGATGTTGCTGCTCCTATACCTCGCATAGTCCTGGGAGCATTTTAGGTGATGAATGAATTTACTCATGAAAAACTAACTTATTCCCAGCCCACAAAGGCTCCTTTATATGCTACTCTTCCTCCTTGAAGTTTTCTAAAGAAGCCTCCTTGTTTCCGTGGGTTGAGTTTCGCTAGCTTCAAAGCCACAAGACATGGCTGCAGTGATGAGTGTTCCAGACCCTAAATCGGGAGAGATTTGTGTCTGACTGCTTCTGGGGCACCCAGGCCGAGATGGGGACTGTCCCAGGAAACAGCGTGTGTCTCAGCTGTAGTCCGGGTGGACTCCGACGGTCACTGTGCCCACACGGCCGTGTCTTTAGGACACAACAGCTTCTAATGGCCTCAGATACAAGGGCACAGTCTTCAAACTGATTACATCTCTCCTGTCATAACACCCAGAGGAGATGAAGGTCCACCAGAGCAAACGAAGAAGATTTGGGGGTTTGGTTGTGGTTTAGAGAAAATGGAGACCTGTAACAGGTCGAAGTAAATAGAGATTAAAGATACATGCAGTTAGCAGTTAAAGTAGGGCTGAATATTATGGTGACCATTTTTATTATCCAAACTGAGGTAAAAATACAGTCCCTGAAATGTATAAGTTGCCCGTAAATATTTTTAACAGTATGGGTTCAACACCTTAAAGCTGATCTGGGGTATTTCTAAAGGGATGGCTTCCTGTTGCTGGTTGAATGCAGAGCAGTTGCAGGGAAAAAAGGTTTTTGTCACAGCCAAATTTTCTACGATTGAGGCAAATGGACCTAAGGCAATTGGGCCCTCAGCTTGTTCTTAGAAGCTTGATGGAGTCCATGATCTCCGTCCTTTTAGGGCCTCTGGCGAGGACTGCTCTAGAGGCAGGACTCAGCTAACCCAGTCAGGCTTTGGGGTGCTCCCACAATCAAAGCATAACTAGAAAATCTCTATCTCAAAGAGCGCTAAGCTGCTGAACTCAATATGATCTTATGGCCTGGGAATCGAAGAGCAGATTGCCCCTGTACATGATTACTTACCAGTCCACATATCTTAAGCATTTCCCATTTCACCAGTGAGAAATGGTTTCTAATTTCCCTTGTGCATTAGCACAAACTAAACTAAAGAGGGTGGTAGTGAAACGCTCTCTAGAGGAGGACACCCGATTACAGATTTTGAATGCTAACTCAAGTCCTCTGGAGAGTGTGTTCCTGAATAGGGCATCTCAGGTGTTAACCATCTACCCCTAGGCTGTAAATTACACCTAAGTTCCATGTATGTCACACAATAGATGCTGAAGTATTTCAGAGCACATTATGAACAGCATGGCGACACATGTAGGACAAAGCATAATCAACAAAGTGTCCAAGATGCTTTTTATTTGCCCGTGAATGTTTATTATAGCCAGGTTTCTTCCCACATCCCTGCTTATAGAAAAGTGAAATCGTTTGGAGTGCCTTAGTCATTCAGATTAATAATAAGGATTTTCAAATTACTTTACAAAGAAATGAAAATATCAGACAGTGCCTATGACCAGCTATTGATGAATACAAAGTGGGAACAAAAGTGATGCCGAAGCATCATTTATTCATGGACCCATTCTCCTTATACCCCTAGGACCCGGGCGAGGATAGGATAAAATAGAAAAATGTTTGGGTCATGGCATCCAAGCAATGTTCTAAACCATGGGTCGGCAAACGTTTTTGTCAAGGGCCAGATAGTAAATATTTTAAGCTTTGCGACTTTGTGGGCCATAACGTCTTTTTTTTTTCTTTAAGATTTTATTTATTTGTCAGAGAGAGAGCAAGAGCGCGAGCATAAGCGGGGGGAGCGGCAGAGGGAGAGGGAGAAGCAGACTCCCTGCTGAGCAAGGAGCCTGATGTGGGGCTCTACCCCAGAACCTGGGGTTGCTGACCTGAGCCAAAGGCAGACGCTTAGCCGACTGAGCCACCCAGGCGTCCTGGCCATAAGTTCTTTTCAGCTACTCAACAAAGCTGCTGCAGGACTAGAGAAGCTGTAGACAGTACAGCAACAAATGAATATGTCTGTGTCCCAGTAAAATCTTACTTCCCATAACAGGCGGAGGGCAAGGTCTGGCCAGCATGCTGCAGTTTGCCAATAGCCCAGTCCTGCCTCAGGGATTTTCAAGAAGATTTTATAAGCTTCCAAAAGGACAGCAGCTTCTCAAGGACCCTTGCTCAAATTCTGCCTTCCTCCCATAAGCCACGGCAACTACCTTTCCTGTACAGTGGCCTTGTTTTCTTCTTTATCATTTCAACTAGGCATTGACCATCCTCCCACCTTCACTCTCCTCAACTTTATATGCCAGCTAAAGGGACGTATGCATTTTTTTGCCTTTCTCACCCGTAGACTTGTTTACAGGAGTGTTATTACTGAATTCGGATCACCTTGACGGATCACCTCCCACCTTCACTCTCCTCAACTTTATATGCCAGCTAAAGGGACGTATGCATTTTTTTGCCTTTCCCGCCCATAGACTTGTTTACAGGAGTGTTATTACTGAATTCAGGATTTTTTGTTTGAAAGGAAACATGCTAACTTAGTTCATTGGGAGGTGAAGGAAAAAGGGAAGACAATATGGATCATTTGGAACCATTTGCTCTAAGGTAGCTCTTGAGTAGTAAATGGGGTAAAGGCATTTTCTGCTTGCTTTCATTTCAAATTACATTTTTAAAAATTTTAACTCCAATATAGTTAACATACAGTGTTATATTAGTTTCAGGTGTACAATATAGTGATTCAGCAATTCCATACATCACCTGGTGATCATCACAAGTGCACTCCTTAATTCCCATCACCTGTTTCCCCCATCTTCCCACCCACCTCCCCTCTGGTGTCCATCAGTTTGTTCTCTGTAGTCAAGAGTCTGTTTCTTCGTTTGTCTCTCTCTCTTTTTTTTCCTTTGTTTTGTTTCCTAAATTCTACATGTGAGTGAAATCATATGGTATTGTCTTTATCTGACTGATTCATTTCGCTTAGCATTATACTCTAGCTCCATCCATGTCATTGCAAATGACAAGATTTCATTCTTTTTTCTGGCTGAATTTATATATATATATATATCTCACATCTTTTTCCATTCATCTACTGAGGGACACTTGGGCTGCTTCCATCATTGGGCTATTGTAAATAATGCTGCTATAAACATAGAGGTACACCTACAATCCAGTAATCATACTACTGGATATTTACCCAAGAAATACAAAAACACTAATCCAAATTACATTTTAATTTTAAATCTCCAAAAATAGTAATATAACAACACACATATTCGTTGAGCTTCCCACTATATTCAAGAAACCACGTTAAGTGCTACATAAAATGTGAAAACAAGACAAGGAAGACCCTTGTCTTCATAGTATTTACAATGTGCTGGAATAGCAAAATGCTCAAGTAACCCTAACCAAGGTGAAATGGCCTCATCTCAGTAGTAAGTGGGAAGGCCCTGAGGATGTAGGAACAGGATGGGGAGCGATGGGGAAGTGAAAGGAAGAGCAACAGGGGAGGGCTGAACCCAATGTTGAAACCATCAATGTGAACCATAATGAGAACCTGAGCTAGCTGGGTGGCCATGAGGTGAGAGGTAAAAGACAAGACATGAATTCTGAATCAAGAGCCTCTAGGATTTGGGCACTGAGTGAATGTGAAAGAAGAGGCTGCAGATACATTTCTGATATGGTTCAATTTCAAAGTTAGATGTGGGTTCAAATCTCAAATCTGCCACTTACTGAAAGTGTGACTTCTGAGCCTTAGTTGTCTCATCTGTAAAATGGAGATCATAATATCTAACTCACAAGAGACAATGCATGTAAGGAGTCTGCACTTAATAGGCACTCAATAAATGATAACTATCGATGTTATATATTCTTGAGAGAGTGAAGGTTTAGTTAATGACAGCCCTGAGGTTTTAAGCCTGGGTTATTGGGGAAATCTAGGCACCATTAAAGGAAACACAAAAGTCAAGAGGAAGAACGAGTATTAACAGTAAGACAACAGGTTTCCTTTTGGATGGGAAGAGATGTCCAGCTGGCCATTGGAATTACTTATCCAGAAATAGAATTTTTTTTAATGACAGCATTATTAACATGTAACCCTATAGATTATATGTATTATATCTACTCTTAATATATTGAGATATAATTCGCATACGACAGAATTCACTCTTTGAAAGTGTACAGTTCAGTGGTCTTCAGAATATTCACTTAGTTGTACAGCATGGCTGCTATCTAATTTTAGAACATTTTCATCACATACCAAAGAAATCCATACCCATTAGCAGTCCCTCCTCATTCCCCTTCCCTTCAGTTCCTGGAAACCACTAATTCACATTCCATCTCAATGGAATGAGGTAGATATTTGAAACTCACAACATTGAGAGTGGTGTGTGAAACCCTGAGAAAGGAATGTGATTCACCAAGGGAGACAATGTAGCACGAGCAAGGACAATAGCCAAACAACCTTAGGGACAGCTGAGTGAGGGACCAGAGTTACGTGTGCATGTGATTCTAAGCCTGTACTCCATGTAACCAGTATGTTAAGTGGCTTCTTACATACCGTGGCTTTAGCAGCAACTTGGGGTTTGACCAATTGGTAAACACTGAGGTCAACAAAAATACCCACTGATTTGACTGAGACTTGGCTTCTGGCGTAGTGAGAACACTGTGTTTTCATGTTAGCTTAAGAAAATTATCATCTCGAACTAGCCTTGTAGATCTGTGCTATCCAGTAAGGTAGCCACTAGCAATGTATGCCTATGTAAAATGTAAACATAAATCATTTAAAATTAAATAAAATTTAAAATGTAGTTGCTGGGGGCCTGGGTGGCTCAGTTGGTTAAGCATCTGACCCTTGATTTCAGCTCAGGTCTTTGTCTCAAGGTCATGAGTTCAAGCCCCGCATTGGGCTCCATGCTGGGTGTGTAATCTACTTAAAAAAAGGGTTGGGGGGGGTGGACCTGGTGGCTCAGTCAGTTAAGCATCCGACTCTTGATTTTGGCTCAGGTCATGATCTCAGGGTCAGGGTATCAAGTCCCACACTGGGCTCCACTCTCAGCAGGGAGTCTGTTTGAGATTCTCTCCCTCTCTCTCTGCCTTTACCCCACCCCTCTCAAATAAATAAATCTTTAAAAAAAAAATGTAGTTGCTCAGTTGCACTAGCCACACTTCATATGCTCAATAGGTACATGTGGCTGTTAACTACAACATCGGAGAGTGTGGACATAGAACATTTTCATCATTGCAAAAACTTCTCTTGAATGGTGCTGTCCTATATGATACAATAACTTGCAAGCTTCGTAGAGAGTTTTCATCTTTGTAGGTAATTTCGTAATGGTAACATGCCTCATTTGACTTAATACTGCACTTCTTTCCCTTCCAACTCCTCCTGTGTTTCCCTGTGTAAACTGTTGCCCAGCAGAGCCCAGGCCTTCACCAGCTGGTGTCCAATAAAGCACACTTATGTGTACGTATGTCTCTTTCTCAATGTGACTCCCTGATGTTGTTGCAAAGCTAAATGTCAAGTAGTTTTCGATAAGCTCTCAGGTATTTTCTATGCTTATTCTCATTATTGCTACAATTATTAATAAAGTGATATTAAATAATTTCACAGATAGAGATAATACTCTTAGTTCCCATATACATATCCCCATATACCACGTAAGAGATCCATGAAAGTTTAGAGATAGGGTTGTATTAGTTTTCTATGCTGCTATAACAAATTACAACAAACTTAGTGGCTTATAACAACACAAATTTATTCTCTTACAGTTCTGGGGGTCAGACGTCCAAAACCAGTTTCACTGAGCTAAAGTCAAGGTATTGGTAGGTCTGTTCCTTCTGGCATCTCTGAGGGGAGAATGGTTTCCTTGACTTTTGCAGCTTCTAGTGGCCACCTGTAATCCCTGGCTTGTGGCCCCTCTTTCATCTTCATCACCCCAAGCTCTGCTCCTGTCCTCTCATCACCTTCTCCTCTCTGTAGTCAAATCTCCTTCTGCCTTTCCCTAAGGACACTTATGATTTCATTTAGGACCCACCCAGATAACCCAGGATAATCTCCCCATCCCAAGATCCTTAATTCAACCATATGTGCAATCCGTTTTGCTATATAAGGGTAACGCTCACAGATTCCAAGGATTAGGATACGGATATATTTGGGGGCCATATTTCAGCCTACCCCAAGGTTACATAAAGTTTCTTATTGGTAGAAGAAAGTCTTCCCCTGCCAGATTTGATTTTGGGGGTTTTGGATTAAGGTTTAACAATTCAGATTAAAGCAGAAAGTGTTTGTAATCATGTTGACAGATATTAAAATGTCTGACGATGCTGGTGACACCTCAGCCATTAGAGACAAAGCAGAAATTGCCAAGATGCCCGAGAGTGAGTTTTCACCCAAAGACACAGAAGCGCGCTGTGATTCAGCTATGATTTCAAATGAGCCAACAGCAGCTGATGCCAGAGGAGATGGGCATGAAAATGCCACCGTCCAGGGTGCAGAGACTACTGACACTGGGCATCTTGAGCAGCCCCAACACACCAGTGCCACGGAGCCCCCCCTCAATGGAGAAGTGACTGAGGATGCACTTGCTGAATGCATTGACTCCGTCAGCCTCGAGGCAGAACTTGGATCTGAAATACCCCTGAAAGAACAGACTAATCCGGTAGGTGTGGTTCATTCGACTCAGTTCAACCTAAGTTCTTACTGATACCTGTCATGGGCACAGATCGGGGTATTTTCGATGCTTACGGGGATCGGGGGGATTCGGAATATACTGTGACATCACCTCTGTCTTCAAAAGGGGGTTGTGTGGTGAGAAAAGGCATATATGAGAATAATTGGTCATTATAATATTTGCATTTTGATAATTGTGGCAATAAAAGTAACAGCCACCAAGACTGGCTACATCCTGTATGCCAGGCACCCCGCTAGCCCCTTTATAGGTTATGTAATTTGCTTCATCCAATGGTTCGTTGAGGTTCTAAGCTGGATATTATTAACCTAAATCTGTAGACGAGGCAATCCGGCTCAGAGATAGTAAGCAGCCTAGTGAGATATTAAGCTACTTGGTAATAAAGAGAAGATATTGAAATATTGAACATCATGAGTCCAAGTTATTAATGAGCCTGATTCTACCCTAAACAAGTCAGTGTTTTTTTTAATATCACTTAACTTTTAACACATAGTTACAAATCCACTGTGGGGATGGATCTTAAACCTTCAGATCACTGTTTTATCATCACACACCACCTTCCAGAGGACCAGAGGCAGAGCATGCTCATGGCCTGTTCCCTTTGGTGCCTGCACCTGACTTTCTGGGGGATAAGATAGACCAGTGTCTCCCAACTGGTTCCTTGTACAACATCAGTATGATTGTGGAGCTGGGTTTTCTTGGCAACTTCATCTTCAACCACATGGGGGCTGGTGGGGATGGAGAAGCATTCAGCATGAAAGAAGGAAGCAGGCCAATCCTGCCTTCCAGAGGAATGGTCCAAGATGGGGAATCAGGGTTTTCCCTCAGTCAGGCCCCAGCCCTGCTCCTCTGACGTGTCCCACCGGTTACCTCCGTGAAGAGACTCTACTGCATGCGATCAATGAAGGGAGGAGACTACACAGGGAACCAGGGGGCCTGGCTTCCCCCCTCGGAACTAACATTACCACTCTCAATTTGGGCGAGACACCTAATTTCTCCGTGCCTCGGTTTTTCCCTCTATAAAATGAAGACTTTTGCACATGAATAGGACTAGGTATTCTTCTGACTAATGTCTTGTGATTCTTTTATTCAAAGTCAGGTTCCTTGTGCCTCAGTTTCCTCAAGGGGTTTGACTTGTAGAACCATTCCGAGAGGAGACGGACTTCCTCAGTGTTTCCCATGAACGAAGGTGTTTTAACAAAAGCAAACAGTTGTTTGGCAGGGATGTCGGGGAGAGGATCTGAGGACCAGCTGAGAGTTTGAATGAGATCTGGTAAACACACAGACACAATTTCGTCTGTGAGTTCCAAGGGTTCACAGACTCTTCAAAGCCATCCACGGACCCCCTAAGGGATTAAGCACTCCTAGACCGGAGGTTCTCAACTCTAGCTGAACATTTCCACCACTGGGAAAGCTTTAGAAAATGCTGTAGTAGTCGGTTCTCCAGAGAAACAGAGCCAATAGGATATCTATTTAAAAATCCTATAGCTAAAAATAAACAAAGAAAAAAGAAAATAAATAAATAAAAATCCTATAGCTATATCTACCCATATACCTGACTTTGGAAACTTTTTTCTGCACGCTTTCTATTGTGGGAAGCACTGGTTCTCAATTCTTATCGTAAGTGCTGCTATTAATAAATATCTTTGTACAGTAAGAAAACCACATCTTGGCCGCAACATTGTGACCTGAGATGACCTAAAGAAACGTCACAGGCTCTACTAATTCAAAATACATATGCTCCTGATGGATAGATTATACATTCCAATTCCAGACTTCTAATAATGAAAATGAGATAGCTAATTTTAAAGATAGCACAATAAAAAGTCAGTGTGTGCCTACATATCTGCCTTCTTCATTTTTTGAGCAAACTGAATGAGTCCTGCTTTTGAAAGCTCTTTATAAACCTTGATGCTACAGGGTTAAAGCCCAATTAAGCAGACAGATACTGCCCTCCTCTTCCTGCATGACCCCGATAGTTTTCAAGGACTTGGAAAAGAGTATTTCTTCATCATGAAGCATCCCAAAAGTATCTGGATGGAAGTGCAAATATTGGCCACAGGGTTGGGACTGTGGCTCTGGGTGTATGTGTGTGGCATTGCACCAGGAGCTCAGATGAAACCAAGATGTGGGAGGAATGCCCGTCAGTACGTTTGTTCTAAGAAGGCAGAAAGCCGATATGGCTGGTGGAAGGGCCTTGCGGGAAGAGGATACCTCTTCCACCCAGGTCATATTTAAACACTTCTAAGTAGGTACAAATTTAGTCTCTTTTTAGGGATTACCCAGAGAAGGGGGTTCTGCTATCTCTCTTGGTAACTTATCCTTTTAAGTCTATACAAGAAGTCAATGTTGCGCCTTGTCTTCAAGCATTGTTCATTTGCTCTATTTTTTATTGTCTTGTTGGATACTTATGAAAAATCCTTTTGCAACGATGAAAACAACTATTTTTCTCTTGATCTAGAAGAGAATTAATTCTAAAGAAAACCTTGAATCGAAAGTTCATTTATAAGTTGACTGTATGGATCTTGAACACAGGTCCCCTGAGGAATGGCAGGTCCAATAGGAAAACAGACAAGCTCAAAAGCCTACTTGATCCCAGGTATATCTGAGCCTAAAAGAATCTCATTATCCCTTTAAACAAGCTTCTGTGGGAAAATGTCTGCATGTGATCAATGAAGGGAGGAGACTACACAGGGAACCAGGGGGCCTGGCTTCCCCCCTCGGACCTAAAATGAAGACTTGTGTACATGAATAGCACTAGGTATTCTTCTGACTAATGTCTTGTGATTCTTTTATTCAAAGTCATGTTCCTTGTGCCTCAGTTTCCTCAAGGGGTTTGACTTGTAGAACCGTTCCAAGAAGAGACGGACTTCCTCAGAGAGGAGGGTGTTTCCTGTGAACGGAGATGTTTAAACAAAAGCAAACAGTGGTTTTGCAGGGATGTAAAACAAAACAAAACAAAACAACAAAAACAAAAACAGCAACAACAAAAACAAAAACAAAAAGCTGGCAGAATAGCCTTTGAGAAAGCTTAAACCAGTATCTTCTAGGACACACTAGATTTTGTGATAATGTGCTTAGATGTGTGCATATTTTTTTCTTTAAGTGACTTGTATCTGCATAGTCTCTTTGGGTCTGGGTCCCCTCAAAACCCACCTTATTAGCTTTGCTTTTGCCTGAGTCAGCCCAGTGGCTGTAACCTGGCAGGTAGGGCTGTGACTAGGAGGGCCCCAGAGAAGAGGAGGAGGCCAGTGGTTCTGCCAACTGCCTGGCTGGCACCTCTGCTTTGAAGGATCACACCACTCACAGTTTATGTACTCAAAGAAGCGATCTCTGTCCTTGGTGTTCCTTCTTTTTCTCGTCCATAATGATGTACAGACTAGAAGCCACTGAGTTGAGACTTCCTGCAGGATCTACTCTACAACATCCATGAGAGATGGCCCCCAAACTCATTTGAACATTGGAGGTTAGACTCTCGAAGGCCTCTACCAGCCCCATGACACCACGTGTTGTGCCCAGGAATCTGAGTGGCACAACTATCTTCAGGATGCCTACGGTCTAGTTGGAGAAGGGAGTGTTGTATAAAAGTAATGATAGCATATCCTATAGTACTAGATAGGACAGACACAGGGGAAGCCTTAGATGGGGCACTTAAATTAATCTTCAGGAATCAGGGACAACTTCAGCCTCAATTTAGAGATGTTTGTCTGGAGTGCTAGTCAGGAGTGACACTTATTTCCAGAGATTTTTTCTGGGAACTTATAAACTGGCCTATCAGCCCCTACAAGATCTGATGTAAATCAAATTTCCCTAAGTTCTTAACACCAAGAAATGTTACCCAGAGTGGAAAAAAAGTCATCTCTACTGTTTAACACCAGTACATAAGGTCAATTATGAAAGTAAAGAATTCCAATGTTATCACTAAAGGTACTCACAGAGGAAAACATAGACTACCACCGGTTAGTTCTCTCCTTAGAAAAGGAAAAACAGAATGTATAAGGCCATAAAATTGCTGTCAGGGGAGACAAAGGAGAGCGAACATAGACCAAGACACACAGATGGCAGATTTTTGCCTCTTCAATGAATAAGTTAAGTTTGCTTCTGTTCTTTTTGAGTATTTCCCCCTTTAAGCCTACTCTCCGTGATGGCACTCAATATTTGGCTTTGGTGGATGCTGGGGCAGTTTGGCCATATAAGGCAATACTTCCTAAATCTGGTGGTATAGTGGAATAACCTAGGGAGATTGTTAAAAATTCAGATTCCTAGGCTCTACACTGAGATTCTTATTCAAAAGACCACAGTGGGAGCTAAGACTCTGTGTTTTTAATAAGTTCCCCTTAGGTGAGACTCTTGCGGTCAGTCTATGGACCAGTGTTTGGAAACTACTAAGACTAGGACACAGAAAGAACTAGCTGGGGCATCGGGTGAGATTGAGAAGATGGTGAGTTCAGTATTGAACATGCCATGGGATATCCAAGGGAAGATATTTTGTGGGTAGTTGGTTATAATAGCCTGGAGCCCAGAAGAGAGATTTGGAAACCATTAATACTTGAATGTTATTTAAGAAATGGGAGTGGGTGAGATTGCCCCCAGTGTTATATGTAAATAAAGAAGCACAGAGGCCAAGGCCTTGGCCCTGGAAGGTTCCTGTCCCTAAGCCAATTTGGCTCTTAGGTTCTTTTTGATAGGTTGTGGTAGCCAGAAGTTGAGATGGTGAGGGTTACCTCTTTTCTTCATGATCTTATCACATTCTATAAGGGAAATCAAATCACAAATTACATTGTAGCACACTGACATTTTAGATTTTTTTTTATTTTTTGTTTATTTATTTGAGAGAGAGAGAATGAGAGACAGAGAGCATGAGAGGGAGGAGGGTCAGAGGGAGAAGCAGACTCCCTGCCGAGCAGGGAGCCCGATGCGGGACTCGATCCCGGGACTCCAGGATCATGACCTGAGCCGAAGGCAGTCGC